CGTCGGGTGACGAACTTGGCGCAATAGCTTCTGCCGCTGCTGCCTGCCGCGGCGCCGGCGACGCTGGCGCGGGCCGTCCGCCGCCCCAGGGGTCGACGCTCTGGCCCCCGAGCCTGCGCGCAAAGTGCGTTCGTCAGGGGCGCGTGCTCAGCTAGGCTCGCTGGCCCTTGCTGCCGCAGCTTCGACAGCGGCGCGGGCGCCAGCGGCGATGGGGCGCAGGCGTCGAAGGAGAGACCGCGCGAGCGCGCCCCTGGTTGCGGCGCCGGGGGCAGCTTCTGAGTCGCACTCGCGGCATTTGAACCGCCCAATCGGGGCCCTCAGGGTTGCCTTGACGGCCCGAACCCACGCCATTGGCCCTGGTCCCTTTCCCATTGCCCTCGCCCTTCCCGAAGCCCGCGCGCGCGCGTCTCGGGTGCCATTTTCGGACAGGTCGGCCAGGTCGGCTCGGTGGCCCCTGCCGCGGCCCCTGCCCTTCCCCCAAATGGCCCTCGGGACGCGGCGCGCGGGCGTGCGGTTATTGAAGAGTCGCCGTCGCGCCATGGCGCGCCCGCAAGCCCGGGGCGGGCGCGCGTCGCGCTGTTCCGCGGGGGCGTCGCGTATAGCTGAGCTCGGGGTCGTCAGCGGCTGTCTCTCCCTCGCCGAATGAGCTGAGGGCGTCGGCGTCGGCGCCCGAGTCGGCGGCAGCTCCCGGGAATGCGCCCTGCGCCGGCGGCGCTGGCGCAAGCGGGCTCGGCGCCGGCCCCGGCGCCGATGAACCCGGGTCGCCCTGGCGTGATCTGGCCGCATCGTCGTCGGCACCATGGACCTGATTCTGCGCGGGCGCACCCTCGAGATCCGCCGCTGGGCCGAGCGAGCAGCCGACGCCAGATTGCCGCCGGCCCCTCGATCGCATGCCCAACGCGTCGCAGTCGACCCGCCACGCGCGCGAGCTGTGCTGCGTCGGTCGGGCACGCCGCGTTGCAGTGCCGCAGAATCACGGCAGGCCGCGTATTTGACGCTCGTGACGCGCGCAGATGGAGGAAGCTCGCGCCCTCGTAGCAGGTCGCGAGTTGACCAGATTTGTTCTCTGCGCGGTCGCGGGCGGACGCCAAAACTTGCGAGGAGGTTATCCACGCGCCCCCGCGGCAGTGGATTGAAGTTCATAAAGACTGAGACCGCCGAGGCGCGCCCCCCCATCGCTCAGCTGGCCGCGGCGCTCGGCCAAACCGTGCATCAGGAAGGTCGCGGGTGGCGCAGGGTTGCCGTCACTGGCGCCTTTCTGCGCGGAGGCAGCCGGCGGCCGCTCGCCCGCGCGCGGGCCGCGCCGTCGACGCGAGATGAGACGCAAGCCGCCGCGCGACACTTGCGAGGTCCGACTCCGCCGCCGACCTAATCATCGCCCCCCGCGCCCTGCGTTTGAAGGGGGCCCGAGATCCACTCCGATGGCCATCGGTCTGGAGTGGAAGCCCCTTCGTAAATCAAGGAGGCGCATGGAAACCCGGGGCCCGCCGACAGCCTCGCTCAGACCGCGGGCCTCGGAGCCGTCGCGGGCCCCCGATAGGCTCCCAAGAGAACCCCTCGCGGCCCCAAAAGGCCCCCCAGAAGCGACCAAAACGCTCTAGGAGGCCCGGGCGAGAATGCCGACCAAGGTATCGACCGCACGCTGGCCTCCCGGGGGAGGGGGGGGGGGGGCGCAGCTTGAGATAACTCCGAGAGCGCATGGGGAAGCCCAAGATGACGTCGATATCCCGAGACGCCTCAAGATGGCCCCCGCGATGCCCCACGAAGCCCCGAGACCGCTCCAAGACGGCCCCCAGTGGCCGCGGAGCTCCCCCACGAGGTCCCGAAGAGGCGAAACTCCTTACAAAACCTTAGGGTAATCAGTGTTTTTGGCTTTCTCGCATTTTCGCTCCTGGTGGCCATGCGAGGCCTCAAGATGGCTCTGATGGCCCAAGAGAGCTCCAACAGCGCCCCCGAGGCTCCCGAAAACGCTTCGAGAGGGCCCCAAAGAGGCGCCCAGGACGCCCCAGGAGGGAGGCCCCAACAGGCGCCCAAGAGGCCTCCGACAGGCTCTCAAAGACCCCCCAAGAGGCCCCCATAAGCTCGCCGAAGCGCCCAAGACGCTCTAGGAGGCGTCCGAGGCCACCAAAAGGCCCCCAAAACGCTCCAGGAGGCCTCCACTCGGGGACCCTTCCTCTGCGCGTTGCCCACTTCACTGATCGAGGTCATTCCTTCCGGGCATCGTTTCTGGATGCGCTGGCGGGGCTGCACGAAGCGTCAAGAATTCCCACTATTTTCTGAACTCGCATCCGCCCGCGTTTCCCACGGCCCCCGCAACATAGTTGCGAGATGCTCAGGCCCACTGGCTGAAGCTGCTGATGTGAGCGATGGTGGCTCCTTATTTTCAACCGAAGACAAGACCCGTGGTTCCGAGAGCGACTCCAACATAGTTGGAGCACGCCCAGGGAGAGAAGCAAGCAGTGGCGGGGTGGTGCCGCTCTCCAAGAAGTTCTCGATGTTGTTATTGTAATTGGTGGTGAAAGTCCTTGTTATCCTCCGATTTAGCGGACACGGGGACCATGAACACGGCAAACAACAGCATTCGAGGCACTCTTGCCGAACACGTGGAGGATAGTGGGGAAGGGACAGAAAAACAAAGGCTTGGCAGAAGTGCCGCACGGGCCATAGCTGCAAGGGGTAGTGCCAAAGCTCCGCCACCGACTGTGAGAACGAATGTACGAATGCGAAACTGTTGTACGTGAGTGCGGGGTATTCCTAACCCGCGATTAACACGGGCACGTAAATCAGCCGACCTGCGTACCCGAACCGAGACGGCAGCGGGAGAACGGGAAACATTCAACAGGGCGAAGGAGGCAGGAACTATCAGTAGGCTGTCGTTCGAATGTGAGAAGGAGGAGGAACAGGAGGAGGAGGAGAAGGAGGAGGAGGAACAGGAGGAGGAGGAGAAGGAGGAAGAGGAGGAACAAATGGAGGAGGAGGACGACGACGAAGAGGAGGCAAGGAAGAGGAGGAGGACGACGACGACGAGGGGGGAGGAGGAGGAGGGAGGAGGAGGAGGAGGAGGAGGAGGAGGAGGAGGAGGAGGAGGAGGACGACGAGGAAGAGGGAGCAGGAGGAGGACGAGGAGGAAGAGGAGGAGGAGAAGGAGGAGGAGGATGAAAAAGAGGAGGAGGAGGAAGAGGAAAAGGAGGAGGAGCAGCAGCAGCACCAGCAGCAGCAGCAGGAAGGGGAGGAGGCAGGGACGGGGAGGCGGAGTCTCTCTGGGGGAAGGGGATGACGAGCAAAGAGAGGCCTCGCGCGCTCACCTTCGAACCCAGAGCGCCTGCCTGCCCGGGCCAGGGCGGAGCAGTTCCCTCGATCTGGGCCCGCCTGGGCCGCGGGGCCCCGCGGCGCGGGGGCACCTCCACGACGTCCCAATCGGGCGGGTGGTAAGTTGGCGGCGCGCACAGAAGGGGTTATGGGGGGGGGCTTCTTAGAAGGAGGCCGCTTACTGGAGGGCGCCAGCCCTCCATGTGGAGACAAGGCCTGCGCCTTTTGCCCCCCGTTGCGCGAGGCCGAATAAGCCCCTTCAGGGCCCTGTTCGGCTCCGCGGCGCGGGGGCATTTCCGCGCCTCTCCCTGGGCGACCTGCTCTCTCCGTCCCGGGGCCCACGCCGCGCGGCCCAGGGGGGCCCGACGGCGGCCCATGGATGAACGACGCCAGGACGAGGGCAACATGGGGTGAGGATCAAGCGGGAATCTCTGAGAGCTGGTGGCGCTGGAGAGTGCATTGGGCGCCGCGGCCTTCTCAGAGCGCTCTGGAGCGCCGTGAGACCGTTCCGGAACGCTCCGGAACGAATTGATCCTCGTCCTAGCCCCGTCCGATGGGGCCCACGATTCGCGGCCCATGGAGGCTCGAAAGCGGCCCATGGGGGCCAGCGAGGATTGAACACGCCAGGACGAGGTTCTGAAGAAAACGCAGGGCTTGAAATCTTTGGTCGCAGCGGCGAGGATCCACGCCGCGTTCGAAGGCGGCCGAAGGACACCACGGGGCCCAATGGGGCACAACATGCGAGGGAGGAGAGCGGGCGCGCGGAAGGGGAACGGAGCAGACTCAGAGCATGACATTCTTGAACGTGTGTGCCGGGGCACGGGCGCGCAACAAGCGCCGGGGCCGAATTTTTCCTGTCAGCGGCGAGGCAGAAGTGTTGCTACAGCGGGCGGGCGATCGGGGCAACTGATACGCCAATTGGCTGGCGTGCATGAGGGGGGAAAACAGATAGGGCGGCCGCGGCCACCAGGTCTAGTGCGATCAGCGCTGAACACGCCAGGCCGCGAAAGGTCGTCTGGGCATGCTCCTGGGCCCCTAAGTCTCCTGACTTCTCGCATCGCGCCCCGCAGTGCGCGACGCGCGATTATCTTCGCGCCCACGCGCAGCCGCCCTAGAGAAAGGCGCCTCTCAAAACCAGGCCGCGATGCGCGAAGGGCGATCATCTTCGCGCCACTGGGGGTGACCTAGGACCCTAAGGGCTTTCCCGCACATGGGTGAGCCTTCATGGGGACCTCTGTGGACCTCCGAGGCCCTTGAAGAACGTGATTTCGACCAGATTGCGACCACCCTTCTTCACCCTTTCATCCAGATTTCGTCCACACGTGAACCAAATCCGACGAAATCCCCCAAACCGAAAGGAATTTTGGGACTGGGCCGGAGGATCGCGCCACATCGCCGATGCATCGGCGAAGCACTAGCAACGTCGGCGATGCAGCGGCGTCGTCGGCGCGGAGAAAGTCGCACTCCACATCGAGCCGCATCGGCGATGCATCGGCACGGTCCTCTGCCCCCGCCTGCTCGGACCCCATTGGGGGAAGCCTGGAACTCCTCATTGGGGCCGAGCACGCTGCACAAGTACGGCGGGAACGACCCGGTGGCGGCGAAGAGGCCACGGCAGGCCCAGCGCTCGGCCCACTCTTCGCGCGAGGGGGTGCCTCGCACTCCGCGCGCGCGCGAGCTCTCCAGGGCGCCTCCGAAAAGATCTTCTCGAAGTCTAGCAACGCCGCGATCTTGCCTGGGCAGCAAGCGCCGGGGATCCTCCTCCTCCTCCTCCTCCTCCTCCTCCTCCTCCATCCCTTTTCATCATGAGCAACTCCTCCCTGTCGCAACCCCCAGGACGGGTGGGCAGGGCGGGCCAGGCGTTTCGTCTGAGACTTCCCCGCCCTTTCTGATCCCCAAGCTTCAATCGCAACAGCTTCACGGATGGAGGACGGGTCCTTTTCAAAATGCGGCTCTCGCCTTAGCGCCGCGCGCAGACGTTCTCTTTAAAAATTGCAGCAGCTTCACGGATGGAGCACTGGCCGTCTTCAAAACGTGACTCTCGCTTTGGCGCCGCGCACATTCGTGTGACAGATGTGCAGCAGCTCCACGAATGGAGGGCTGTACCGTTTCAAAATGTGACTCTCGCCATGGTCCCGCGCACAGCAGTTTTAAGAGTTTAGAGGTGTCTCAGCAATTCTTGTGATTGACTTCCCAGAAGAAGTGTTTCTTTGTGTTTTGTCACGTCGATTGGCGTTGAAGCCCCAAGAACAATGTTCGGGCACGATTCAGGATCGTCCGGGCGCAACAATAACGTTGATTCGCGGCGTTGAATTTCCAGGAATAGTGTTCTGACACGGTCCAGGTTTTCTAAACGGTTGTTCTCTGACGGAGCACTTCCCTTCGTGAAAAACTTAAAAAGGTCCACGAAACGGATAGAGAACTTGAATCAACCTTGCTTCTGACGCGCGTGCAACACTTTCCGTGAGCTTGGCTGCGAGAGCAACCTCCTGCACGTCCTTCTTCATCGTCCTCCTCCTGCTCCTCCTGTGTCGCCTGTTCCTCCTGCTGCTGCTGCTGCTCCTCCTCCTCCTCCCCCTCATCATCCTCGTCCTCCACCTCTTCCTCCTTCCCCATCAGCCTCCTCATCCTCATCAGAATCACCATCTTCATCACCATCATCAACATGCTCATGATCATCATCAGCATCGTCATCACCATCATCGTCATCATCACCACCATCACCATCACCATCATAATTACTATTCCTCTTTCTTCCTTCCTCCTCCTCCTCATCTTCCTCCTGTCTCCACCTTTTTCCCCCTTGTCGTCATTTCCCTCCCTCCACGGCGGCGCCTGGCGCATGTTGGGTTCCCCCCTCCGCGCATGTTTTTCCACGTACTATGAAGAATCCGACGCGCCCACTGAGGGTCCCGCCCTGGGGGCCGTGGGCACGTGACAACGCGTGCCCCGCGAGCGCGCGCCACCCCCCCTCCGCAGCACGTGTAAAGCGCCAGGCGCATGTTCCCCCCCCCCCACCCCCCTTCCGCGCAAGTATTTCTACATATAGAAAATCCGACGCGCCCAAGCTGGGTCTCCCCTTGGGGACAATGGACACCTGAGAACGCGTGCCCCGTGCGCGCGCGCGCCAGGCGCATGTCGGGACCCTCCTTCTGTCGCGCACAAGTTTTTACAGGTAGAGAAGACGACGCGTTCAAGCAAGCTGGACCCCCTCCCCCTGGGGTCGTGGACGCGTGGGAGCGCGTGCCCCCGCGCGACCGGTTAACCGCATGCGCCTCTCCCCCCTCCTCCCCCCGTCGACCACGAATCCTGCGTTTAGGGAGCCCGGCGCGCCCGAATTGGCCTCCCCCCCCGTCCCCTGGGGGTCGCCAACACGTGAGAGCGCGTGCCCCCGCGCGCACGCGCCAGGCGCATGTTGCCTCCCTTCTCCGAGCACGTACTTCCGCGCGTGAAGATCCGACGCGCCCCAACTGGGCCCCACCCTGCGGGCCGTGGGCGCGTGAAAACGCGTGCCCCGCGCGCGCGCGCCAGGCGCATGTTGGGACCATCTCCTGCCACGCGCGTTTTTACCTAGCAGCTTTTGCTGATAGGTTTCTAGTGGGGTGAAAAGAGAACATCTTGACGCCCCAAGGGGGTCTGGGCGGGATCCGGACAAATCCGGCAGCCGCCCCAAGGAGATCTGGGCGGGATCCGGACAGATCCGGACAGATCCGGCAGTCTCAGGAACCCTCAGGAATCCTTGGGAATTCTTGAGAATCCTTAGGAATCCATTCCCAGAACACCACTCCCAGGCCACATTTTGAATGCCCGGAGCCAACTATAGGCCACTTCGTGTTCTTCGTGTTCCCAGAACACCATTCCCAGGCCACATTTTGAATGCCCGGAGCCTACTGTAGGCCACTTCGTGTTCTTCGTGTTTCCAGAACACCACTCCCAGGTCACATTTTGAATGCCCGGAGCCGGGTGTAGGCCACTTCGTGATCTTCGTGTTCCCAGAACACCATTCCTGTACCATCTTTTGATTGCCCGGAGCCAACTTTGTGCCACTTCGTGATCTTCGTGTTCCCAGAACACCAGTCCTGTGCAATATTTTGAATGCCCGAGCTGAGGCAGACTGAGGCCGAGGCAGGCTGAGGCCGAGGCAGGCTGAGGCCGAGGCAGGCTGAGGCTGAGGCTGAGGCACGCCGATGCAGGCTGAGGCTGAGGCAGGCTGAGGCTGATGCAGGCCGAGGCTGAGGCTGAGGCTGAGGCAGGCTGAGGCCGAGGCAGGCTGAGGCTGAAGCTGAGGCCGAGGCAGGCTGAGGCTGAGGCTGAGGCAAGCCGAGGCAGGCTGAGGCTGAGGCTGAAGCTGAGGCAGGCTGAGGCTGAGGCTGAGGCTGATGCAGGCTGAGGCTGAGGCAGGCTGAGGCTGATGCAGGCTGAGGTTGAGGCTGATGCAGGCTGAGGCTGAGGGGCTGAGGCCGAGGCAGGCTGAGGCTGAGGCCGAGGCAAGCCGAGGCAAACCGAGGCTGAGGCTGAGGCCGAGGCTGTGGCTGAGGCAGGCTGAGGCTGAGGCTGCGGCAGACTGAGGCTGAGGCAGGCTGAGGCTGAGGCCGAGGCAGGCTCAGGAGGCTGCGGCAGGCTGAGGCAGGCTGAGACCGAGGCTGAGGCAGGCTGAGGCTGAGGCTGAGGCTGAGAGGCTGACGCTGAGGCTGAGGCAGGCTGAGGCTGAAGCTGAGGCCGAGGCAGGCTGAGGCCGCAGCCGAGGCAAGCCGAGGCAGGCTGAGGCTGAGGCTGAGGCTGAGACTGACGCTGAGGCAGGCTGAGCCTGAGGCTGAGGCAAGCTGCGGCTGAGGCAGGCTGAGGCTGAGGCTGATGCAGGCTGAGGCTGAGGCTGAGGCAGGCTGAGGCTGAGGCTGAGGCTGAGGCTGAGGCTGAGGCTGAGGCTGATGCAGGCCGAGGCTGAGGGGCTGAGGGGCTGAGGCTGAGGCAGGCTGAGGCTGAGGCTGGGGCCGAGGCAGGCTGAGGCTGAGGCTGCGGCAAGCCGAAGCAGGCTGAGGCTGAGGCTGAAGCTGAGGCAGGCTGAGGCTGAGGCTGTGGCTGAGGTTGAGGCAAGCTGCGGCTGACGCAGGCTGAGGCTGAGGCAGGCTGAGGCTGAGGGTGAGGCAGGCTGAGGCTGAGGCTGAGGGTGAGGCAGGCTGAGGCTGAGGCTGAGGCCGAGGCAGGCTGAGGCTGAGGCCGAGGCAAGCCGAGGCAGGCTGAAGCTGAGGCTGAGGCTGAGGCTGAGGCAGGCTGAGGCTGAGGCTGAGGCAGGCTGAGGCTGAGGCCGAGGCAGGCTCAGGAGGCTGAGGCAGGCTGAGGCTGAGGCAAGCTGAAACTGAGGCTGAGGCAGGCTGAGGCTGAGGCTGAGACTGATGTGGCTGAGGCTCAGGATTCCTAAGGATTCCTAAGGATGCCTAAGGATGCCTTAAGAATCTCTGGAAACCCCTAGGATTCCATTGGACCTAAGGCCGTTCCCACTGCGACTGTCATTGCGAATGCGACTGCGACTGCGAGAACAGCAGAATTCTACAACTGGATTCTCACCTGAACCTTAAGGGGAATGCCTCCAGATATGCTTATACACATCGCTAATAGGTTGCTTTGCCGGGATAATTCTTCGCGTCGAGAATCAGACCCGCCCAGAGTGTGCCCCCCCTAAGGGCCGTGGACGCGTGAAAAAACACGCCCTGCGCGCGACTTTGACCCCTCCCTCCGCGCGCGCATTTCCACGCGAGAAAAATCAGACGCGCCCAAATTGGGCCATGCGTTGGGGGGCGTGGGCGCGTGAAAACACTACTCCGCGCGAGCGCGCGCGCCTTGCGCCCCCCCCCCCCCCCCCCCCCCTCCCTCCGCCGCGCCGCGCGGGCGCCCGCGAGAGTTGCGGCAAACGCGCGGCCAGTTCCGTGAGGAACGCGCCCTGGTTCAGCTCGTTGAAGGCGTTGGCCGCGCCCAGAGAAAGCACTGCGGCCTGGTGGTCCTTCTCGACCGCGGCCGCCGCCGCGCGGTGCATCAGCTCGATGCCGCCAGTGCGGCCTACGACGCGCGCACTGGTGCCCCCCGCCAGCTGCAGCGACGGGTTCCTCGCGCGCGGCGGCAGACACCTTCCCCGCCGCCCTGCGAAATGCGCCTACGCGCGCCAGGGGCTGCCCGCCGCTGGTCGGTTTGAGCGGCGGGAGCAACCGCCCAGCGAGGACGGCCTGCGCGGCCCGCCTGGCCCTCAAGGGCGGGGGCGAGCACTTCCCCTCCTCGCGGCCGCGCTAGGCCGCCCAGTGCTCGAACCGGGCGCTGGGCGGCCCGGGGCCGGAGTGGCGCGGGCGCTTCCCAAGAGCGCCCGCTGCCTTCTCAGCGGCGTCGGTTTCCCAAGGCGCAGGCGGCGCCGCGAGAGGCGGCGGCGGCGCGCGAGCGGCCGCGGCAAGCTAGCTCGGGCCTGTGGCGGCCGCCGCGGCCTGGCCCACCTCGCCAAGAACGATGAACTCATGTGCGCGGCGCGCCAGAGCCTCAGGGCCGCGGTGCGTCTGGCGGCCGGCGGCGGGCTCTCCAGGTCGCGCCGTTGCTGCCCGCGCCGCTGCCCAGTCGCCTGCCCGCGCCTGGCCGAGTCGCCACGTCGACGCTGTTGCTCGCTGCAGACGGGCGACCCTCGCTTCTGCTAGCTGGCGGGATGGCGAACGGCAGGCGCGGGGGCAACAAAAAGCCGGGCCCGAGCTGCCTCGTTCGCGGGCTCCGACGCCACCGCGCGCAGGGCCGCCGCGAGCACGTCGGCGACTGCCGTGGTCAGGCTGGCTGGGGCCGCGCTCCAAGTCGGCGCGGCCTCTCAAGGCCCCATGCATGTCGGAACCCGCCCGCCAAACCCGCCGAACCCTTCTGGGGAGCTCGCCCGCCTCCGCGGCCAAAGCGCGCCGCGGCGGGGGATCGCTGGCCAGGGCATTGGCGGCGACTGGAAGGTCCGTCGGCGGCGCCGCGCAGGTGGGGGCCCCCGCGCGCGCCCCCTCCGGCTACGCCGCGAATCCTTCTACGCTGCCCGCGGAGATCCCGGCCACAGTGCTTGCGAGGTGCCGAAAGTGCACGTCAGGATCGGCGCGGCTCGCGCGCCGCAATGCATTCGGAACGAAGCCTTGGCGGCAGACGCGGCATGCCGCGACGCATCTGCGCGGGGCCTGCAGGCTGGCCACCCGCGCGCGCGACCGGGAAGGGCGCCCACCAGCTGCTGCCGAAGGCAGCCCGTCGGCGGCCACGGCGCCAATTGCGCCGCACGGGGTGGCGCCCGCGGGCCACGCGCCTGCCGCCGCGCCGCGCAAGGGAGGCCGGGGCCACCTCGCCCGCCCCCCCCCCCCCCATAACCATAGTAGGAATGCCGGCGCCAGCCACCTCGGGCAAGCCGCCGCCGGCAACGGCACCAAGGGCGCCAATCTGCCGGCAGCTGCGAGCTCGCCGCTGGTCGCGCGGGGAGGCGGAGGCCGCCGCGCGCGCATGTTCGTCGTCATCGTCGTCGAGGCCGTTCGCGTCGCCCGCGGGGCGCCTTCCTCCTTTCCAAACGCGGCGCCGGCGCCCCGAATCCGCGGCCATGGGAAGGGCCTCGGCCCTCGGCGAGGTGGGAAGAGCGGGCGCACGGCGAGTGAAGGAAGAGAACCCGGCCGTTTGGGCAGCGCCATGATCCCCCTCCTCCTCCTCCTCCTCCTCCTCCTCCTCCTCCTCCTCCTCCTCCTCCTCCTCCTCCTCCTCCTCCTCCCCTCCTCCTCCTCCCCCCCCCCCTCCTCCTCTCCTCCTCCTCCTCCTCCTCCTCCTCCTCCTCCTCCTCCTCCTCCTCCTCCTCCTCCCCCTCCTCCTCATCATCATCATCACCATCATCATCATCATCATCATCGCTCTCGTCGTCGTCGTCGTCCTCCTCCTCCTCTGCCTCCTCCTCCTCCTCCTCCACCTCCTCCTCCTCTGCCTCCTCTTCTCCTCCTCCCCCTCTTCTTCTTCTTCTTATTATTATTCTTCTTCTTCTCTTCCTCTTCTTCTTCTTCTTCCTCCTCCTCCCCTCCTCCTCCTCCTCCTCCTCCTCCTCCTCCTCCTCCCCCCCCCCCCTCCCTCTCCTCCTCCTCTTCTTCCCCCCCCCCTCTTCCCCCCCCCCTCCCCCTCGCGGTGCCCCGGGGCCCTCGGGCCCGAGGACGGCCCCGGGGCCGGCGGGCCGCAAGCGGGCGGCGCACCGCGGGCCCGCGCGCGCGCCCGCGCCGCGCCCGCCGCGTCGGGCCGGGCGCCCGCGGCCGCCCAGCGCCGCTCCGGGCAGCCGCCTCCGCCCCCCGCCCCCGCCGCCAGTTCCGCCGCCGCAGGCCTCGGCGCCCCTCCTCGGCGCACCTCCTCGGCGCCCCTTCCCCATCCTCCTCCAGCCCCAGCAGCGGTCGTGGTCGCGACGTAGCGCGGCGCTGTCGTCGCGCCAGTAGGCGTCGAGAAACCGCCGGTTCCAAGCCCGGGGGCGGGAGCCACCGAACCCTTGCGTTAGGCGCGCTGGCTGGCCTGGCGACCGCCTCAGGCAGCGCCGATGAGCGCGCGCGCCACCTCCTGGACCGTGCAGGTGGCGATGGGCCGGCGGAGAGTGCCGAGGGTCTCCTGACGCCCAGGGCCCTCCGGCACATGCTGCGCGAGCCACTTCCGGGTGGACTCGCCCATGCCCCCCGAGACTTCAAAGCCGAGGGGCTGGAAACCAGCGACTCCGTTGAATCTGCGGCGCATGGCCTGTTCGGCCAGCCCGGCAGCGGCGCCTCGGGCGCGGGCCCCTCCGGCCCGCCGGCTCTGCTGCGAGGCGGGATGCGCGATCGCTAGGGATAAACCCACTAGCCGTCGCTGTCGGCGCACCTGAGGTCCGCGCGGAGACCCGGATTGCCCGGCCAGGTGGGCGGGCGAATCCATGGATCGGCTGCGACGTCGATGCCGGCTTCACGTAGGGCGCGCGCGACGGCGTCGCGCAGGTCGCTGCGCCTCTTATCCGCGAATCCGCTATAGGAGCAGCAGAGCGCGCGGCGTGCCGGCGGCGCTGGTGCAATGGATTCCGTCCTCCTTTTTGAAGGGTCGAAAGGGGCCATCAGCTGCGCGCGCAGGACCTCCGAGTCTGCGTCTCGCGGCCACGCCCCCGACCTGCTCCTGCGACACGACCTCGCAAATGAGCTTCTCGATGTCCGCCGGGCTCGGCGGCGTCAGCTGCGCGCGCGGGCACTTGGCCGCCGCCGCGCCCCAGACGGCCTCGGCGTCTGTCTCGCAATCAGAATTGAACTTGACATGGGGGAACTTCTCCGTGAGCACCTCGCGACTCTCGTCAACGGCCTTGTCCTCGACCTGCTTCTCCGACGCGACCTCGCAGATGAGCTTCTCGATGTCCACCGGGCTCGGCAGCGTCAGCTGCGCCTGTGGGCACTTGGCCACGCCGCGTCCCAGACGGCCTCGACGTCTGTCTTGCAGTCGGGGTTGAACTGGGCGTCGGGGAACTTCTCCGCGAGCACCTCGCAACTCTCGTCAACGGCCTTGTCCTTGACTTGCATCTGCGGCGCGACCTCGCAGATGAGCTGCTGGATGTCCGCCGGGCTCGGCGGCGTCAGCTGCGCCCGCGGGCGCTTCGCCCCGCGAGGCCTCGACGTCTGTCTCGCAATCGGAGTTGGGCTTGACGTCGGAGAACTTCCCCGCGAGCACCTAGCAGATCTCGTCAACGGCCTTGTCCTCGACCTGCTTCTGCGACTCGACCTCGCAGATGAGCTTCTCGATGTCCGCCGGGCTCGGCGGCGTCAGCCGCGCTTGCGGGCGCCAGGCCGCCGCCGCGCCCCAGACGGCCTCGACGTCTGTCTTGCAATCGGGGTTGAACTTGACGTTGGGAAACCTCTCCGCGAGCACCTCGCAACTCTCGTCAACGGCCTTGTCCTCGACCTGCTTCTGCGACTCGACCTCGCAGATGAGCTTCTCGATGTCCGCCGGACTCGGCGGCGTCAGCCGCGCATGCGGGCACTCAGCCACCGCCGCGCCCCAGACGGCCTCGACGACTGTCTCGCAGTCGGGGTTGAACTTGATGTCGGGGAACGTCTCCGCGATCACCTGGCAGATCTCGTCGACGGCCTTGTCGTCGACCTGCTTCTCCGACGCGACCTCGCAGATGAGCTTCTCGATGTCCACCGGGCTCGGCAGCGTCAGCTGCGCCTGTGGGCACTTGGCCACCGCCGCGCCCCAGACGGCCCCGACATCTGTCCTGCAGTCGGGGTTGAACTGGGCGTCGGGGAACTTCTCCGCGAGCACCTCGCAACTCTCGTCAACGGCCTTGTCCTTGACTTGCATCTGCGGCGCGACCTCGCAGATGAGCTGCTGGATGTCCGCCGGGCTCGGCGGCGTCAGCTGCGCCCGCGGGCGCTCGGCCACCGCCGCGCCCCAGACGGCCTGAGCGTCTGTCTGGCAGTCGGGGTTGCACTTGATGTTTGGGGCCTTCTCCGTGGTCACCTGGCAGATCTGGTCAACGGCCTTGTCCTCGACCTGCTTCTGCGACTCGACCTCGCAGATAGGCTCCTCGATGTCCGCCGGGCTCGGCAGCGTCGGCTGCGCCCGCGGGCGCTTGGCCGCCGCCGCGCCCCAGACGGCCTCGACGTCTGTCTTGCAGTCGGGGTTGAACTTGGCGCTGGGGAACTTCTCCGCGAGCGCCTGGCTGATCTCGTCAACGGCCTTGTCCTCGACCTGCTTCCGCGACGCGACCTCGCAGATGAGCTCCTCGATGTCCGCTGGGCACGGCGGCGCCAGCTGCGTTCGAGGGCACTTGGCCACCGCCGAGTCCCAGACGGCCTCGCCGTCTGCCTTGCAATCGGAGTTGAACTTGATGATGGGGAACTCCTCCGCGATCGCCAAGCAGATCTTGTCCGCGGCATAGTCCTCGACCTGCTTCTGCGACTCGACCTCGCAGATGAGCTTCTCGATGTCCACCGAGCTCGGCAGCGTCAGCTGCGCCTAGGCCAGGGGGCGCCTGGCCGCCGCCGCGCCCCAGACGGCCTCGACGTCTGTCTTGCAGTCGGGGTTGAACTTGACGTCGGGGAACTTCTCCGCGATCGCCTGGCTGATCTCGTCAACGGCCTTGTCCTTGACCTGCTTCTGCGACGCGACCTCGCAGATGAGCTTCTATGTCCACTGGGCTCGGCAGCGTCAATTCCGCCTGCAGGCGCTCGGCCACCGCCGCGTCCCAGACGGCCTCGACGTCCGTCTTGCATTCGGGGCTGAACTTGACATTGGGGAGCTTCTCCGTGATCGCCTGGCATATCACGTCCACGGCCTTGTCCTTGACCTGCTGCTGCGACGCGACCTCTCAGATGAGCATCTCGATGTCCACCGGGCTCGGCAGCGTCAGCTGCGCTTGCGGGCGCCGCCGGGATCGCGCCCGCGAGGGCCGCCTGGGCCGCCTGGTCCGGCTGCGACTGGGCGGCCGCAGGCGCGAAGGGCCGCCCGCGAACGCCGGCGAGGACATGGCCCCGAAGGCCGCCGGGCACAGGGCCACCGCGAGGATGCTGGACGAGTTGCGGGCCATCGCTGGAGGAAGCCACCGGGCGCTCGCATCAACGCGGGCCGAGGGGGCCAGGGGGGGGGCGGGGGGGGGGGGGGCGGCGGCCGTCGCAGCGGCCCCACAGCGGCCTTGAGCGGCCTTGGGGCTAAGAGGAGGAGGAAGAGGGGGGGGGGCAAGCTAGGTGCGCTCGCGTCATATCTGACATCCTACCCCTCCCTTCCATCCCCTACCGTGGCGCAGATCCCCTCTCTACTCGCGCAGTCGGATGTCGAACAAGGCAATGATCTCGAAAGGGTACGCGATGCATTGTAGAGCACGGCGTGGCATGGCGTAGAAAAGCACAGCAAAGCGTAGTATCAACATAGCATTGCATTGCACGCCGTGGCATGGCACGGGAAATGACGCCAGCGCTGCAGCGGGAGCACGAGTCGAAACGAGCGGAAGCGCGGAAATAAGGCCAGCGCTGCAGCGGGAGCACGATTCGGAACGAGAGGAAGCGCGGAAATGAGGCCAGCGCTGCAGCGGGAACACGATTCGGAACGAGCGGGGCCCGTAAATGAGGCAGGCGCCTCAGCGAGAGCGGCGCCTTGATATAAATACAAGCGAAAACCCAACTCCGGGGAAACCTGCGTGTAAAAGAACAGTACGCGGGGGGGGGGGGGTCGGACACTTTCAAACCGTCATCAGGGGAAGAGGGAAAATAGTTTTCACATTGAATAAATGTGGAGGAGGAAGAGGAGGAGGAGGAGGAGGAGGAGGAGGAGAAGGAGGGGGAGGAAGGAGGAGGAGGATGGGGGATGCGGAGGGGGATGCGGAGGAGGAGGAGGAGGAGGAGGAGGAGGAGGAGGAGGAGGAAGAGGAAGAAGAAGAAGGAAAAGGGCCTAGAAAGCTGGGACATGGCCCCGGGGGCCTGGCGCGGTCAAGTCAGCCCAGCTGCCCGTCGGCGCTGCAGTGCCAGCTGCGCATGGGCCGCGCAGCTCACGACCTTGTAGGCCTTTGTGGGCCCTGCTTGCTGCCAGTCCACTGGCAGGACCCGCGTTTGCCAGAGGAGCCGCTGCCCGGCCTCGCCGCCAAAGCGACGCCGGGGTCTCCAAGTAAGGGTGTCAGGCGGTCCCCATGGACCCCTGGCGTGCTTCTGGCGCCTTCCCTTTCGTGGCGGCCTCGCCGGGCTGGCGCGCCGCGGCCGCCGCCGCGTCCTGCGCCGCCGGGTGCCGGACCGACGCGTCCATCCATTGGCGGCCGGCCCCGTCATTATGCTCGACGTCAAGGACGGCGCGCTCGACCAGATCCGCGCCTGGCGGGCCCGACGACCGCCGGGCGCGGACGCGGTCCGAGGCCGGCGCCCGCTGCTCCGTCAGCGGCCCCTGGCGTAGCCAGCGTCGGACCAAGCCGGCCACCCCATTCTCGAGGCTGGCGCGGCGGCGCTCCACCCCGCCGCCCAGCGCGAAGGCGGCCGCGCGCGTGCCCTGCTCGTCCAGCGGCTGTCCGCAGAGCGCGCCCTGGCCCCCTTGGGCGGCAGGGCGGTTCTGGCAGGTCTGCGCGGCCGTCTGGAGCTCCGCCCGGGCGCATTCGGGCCCGGGCAAACGCGCGCGGGCACGGAGCCCCGCGGCCCAGAGAGCGTCCTCCATCGAGCACGCGGGATCGTTCGGGTTGCCGAGGAACCCCGCGTCGCCCCCTCGCAGCTGCGCAAACGCTGCCGCGAGCCAGCGTGGGTTTTCTTTTGCACAGCTTGCACGAGAATGCTCTGTTTCGCCGAGTGCTGCAGGGCGCCCAGCAGGGAAACGCCCGGCGCGGGGCCCGCGCCCTGGAAGGGGAGCGCTGTCCGCGCGTCGGAGCGGGCATCGCCGAGTCGCGGCGCCCCGTTCAGGAGCTCGAGCAGGGAGTCAGCGTCTAAATCGGCGGCCGCGCTGGACACGCAGGCGGCCCAGCCAACCCAGGAGGCCGCGGCTCGTCGCGCAGTGGCCCGCTCCTCGTCCTCCTCTTCCTCCTCCTCCTCCTCCTCCTCCTCTTCCTCCTCCTCCTCCTCCTCCTCCGCCTCCCCCTCCTCTTATTTGATGATGGTGATTATTATTAATAATATTATTAGTATTATCATTATTGGTATTATTAGTATTATTGTTATTATCATTCTTATCATTCTTCTTCTTATTATTATTATTATTATTATTATTATTATTATTATTATGATTACTATTATTACTACTATTACTATTAGTAATATTAGTAGTAATATTATTATTGTTATGATTATTGTTGTTATTATTATGTTTCCTCTTATTATGTTTATTATTATTCATATTCGTCTTATTGTCATTATTATTATTACTATTATTATTCATCCCCTTATTCTTCTTATTATTCTTAGTATTATTATTCTGTTTCTTCTTATTCTTATTATTGGTCTTACTATTCGTATTATTATGATTCTTCGTCTTGTTATTATCATTAATAGTCTTATGATTGTTAGTATGGTTAGTATTATTTTGCTTCATATTATTAGTATTCTTACTATTAGTTTGAGTATAATTATTCTTATTAGTATCATTCCTGTGATAATAATTATTATGAGTATTATTATTAATATTATTATTAGTATGTTTATAATTGTTCTTCATATTAGTCTTATGTTTCTTGTTATTATTCTTCTTTTGCTTCTGCTTATGATTCCGCTGTTGCTTCTTCTTATTCCTCCTCCTCCTCCTCCTCCTCCTTCTTCTTCTTTTTATTATTATTATGATTAGTATTATTATTATTATTATTATTATTATTATTCTTATTACACTTATTCTGATTCCTCCTCTTCCTCCTCCTCCTCCTCTTCCTCCTCCTCCTCCTCCTCCTCTTCCTCCTCCTCTTCCTCCTCCTCCTCCTCCTCCTCCTCCTCCTCCCCCTCCTCCTCCCCCTCCTCCCCCTCCTCCCCCTCCTCCCCCTCCTCCCCCTCCTCCCCCTCCTCCCCCTCCTCCCCCTCCTCCCCCTCCTCCCTTCCTCCTCCTCCTCCTCCTCCTCCTCTTCCTCCTCCTCCTCCTCCTCCTCCTTTTCCTCCTCCTCCTCCTCCTCCCCCTCCTGTTTCTTTGCTCCGCTGCGCCATTCGTTGTCTCTCCCGAACAAGCTCGCAAACGAGCAGAAGAGGCGCCTCGACGTCGGATCCGGGGGCTTTCCCTGAGGCAGCGCAGAAGCCTGGATTGAGAGGCGCCTGAAAAGGACAGCGGAACGAAGGGAGCATGGATGGGCCAAGAGCGTGAAAATTTACGCAAAGACTCCGGGACTCACCTCCCGCAAAAACTGAGAGGCCCTTCCGACTTGGCAACCACCGCGGCCCACAGGGAGCGAGGAGATCCAAGTCTCGCAGCCGAGACAACCAAATCCTCTAGAGACGGGCGCAAGTCGAAGCACCTAGAGTTGGCCAAACGACGCGGTCCAGACCTATGGCACTGCCTGCACCTTCAGCGGACGCCACCCCGCGTGGGGTCGCGAGGCCTGGGAGGGGCAGGAAACGCGCGGGCGCTGCGCGGCCTGGCCAGGGCTCCATGGAGGCCCTTCAAGGGCGGCCACTCCACCAGGACCTGAAGCAAATTATTGGCTACCTTCTTGGATGACACGCGAGCGCCAGCGAAGGTTTTCAAATCGGCCACGCACATATCATTGGATCTAGCCGCCACCTTGGCATGCATGGTGGTCGGCCAGCATGTTGCCTGTGATATGGCAAAAATCATCTCTACTGGTGGCCTGCTCTTCTTGACGGTGAGCCTTGCCAGTTATTCTGCAGAGCCTAGCGCGCGGCGGCGACTGGCGCTTGGCCTACAGGCTGTCAGTGGCTCCCCACACAACAGCGGCACAATCAGAATGAAGAACGGCCCCGAGACCAACGCTCATCAAGGGCGACTCCTAGGTGGGTTCCACAGGGCATGGGGGCCCCAAAAACCTCTGAAACACGCAAGCGGCGTGGTGCTCGGCGGCCGAGGAGGTATGTGGGATCCCGTCCGGCACAGGCCCGCAGATGCCCTTGACTAGGCGCCCCTTGGCCGCCACTTCCACCGCCGCCCGACTAGCCCGCGCGACCCGTGGAATAGCTCCATCGCAACAGCTTCCGCCACTGCAGCGACGTCGACCTGACCTACTGAAGACAAGCTGTATGCAAAATTATCCTGGCGAAAGACCCAACCATATGCAGTTGTGCGAACCGCAAATGTGAAATATCTTCTTCGGTGGCAATCCCTAAGGGGTCACGAAACGTATGAGGGCTGTGCAAGGGCCTTCGGTGGAGCTCCCTGTGGGGCCGCGAAACGTGCGAGGGGTGCGCCGACATTGGGGCCGTGGGCGCATTGGAACGCAGCCACAGGGGCCTTCGGTGGAGCTCCCTCTGGGGCCACGAAACGCGTGAGTGGTGTGCCGGACTGGGTGAGGTGGGCGCGTGAAAACGCAGCCATTGGGGCCTTCGGTGGGGCTCCCTGTGGAGCCACGAAACGTGTGGGGGGGTGCCGAAATCGGTGCGGTGGGCGCATGCGAACGCAGCCACTGCAGCCTTCGGTGGGGTTCCCTGTGGAGCCACGAAACGTGCGAGGGGTGTGTTGAAATGGGCGCGGCGGGCGCATGCGAACGCAACCACTGGGGCCTTCGGTGGATCTCCCTACGGGGCCACGAAACATGAGGAATGTACCGAAATGGGTGCGGTGGGCGCATGCGAACGCAGCCGTTGCGGCCTTCGGTGGAGCTCCCTGTGGGGTCACGAAACGTGTGAATGGTGTGCCGAAATGGGCGCGGTGGGCGCATGCAAACGCAGCCACTGAGGCCTTCGGTGGAGT